CTCCTCTCACGCCCCGTCGCTCAAGAATTCGTCTTCTTCACTCACAACATACTCTTCTCTGCCGCACCCTCGTCCGTCCCAACAGAACCAGCCGTTCCGCCCGCACATGCCTGGAAATTCCTCACATCCCTCCCCGAACCCAGGCCGAACCAAGACCAGCAATTGACACCTCGGTCTCCCAGCGGGCCAGCCCCCGGCAGCCACCAGCTCCCCTGAGCACCAGCGCCAAACGAAGAGCACCCCCCCCTCTAACCCCCTAACACGCCTTGGCTCCCCACCTCGGCCCTATAATTCCCTGGCTCTCGCCGCCCGCCACAGGCCTTCGAAGCCCTCTACCACTCCCTGCCAACCCAGTCCTTCGGTACAGGGTTCGTTCGCCTGCACCAACCTCACTTCACCTTTCTTCCAAGGCCCTCCCCCCATCCCCTCCCCCTCCCTTCTCGGCCATCCATCCCCACCACTGCATTCGGCCACGCTTTACCTTAACCTGCGCCCACCCATCGATCACCCAGAAGCAGGCCGCCTCCTTCGACATCTGCTTTTTGTCGACCGCCAACAGACAGACAAAAGGACGAGGGAAAAAAATACACTTCCACCTGCTGTTCTCTTCTGCCGAAAAAAAATCCAGCCACCTCTTTGGTTTGTGCATCCAGACTGTTCTTCACGCCTGGCAGCACAAAAAGCACCACTGCTCCTTCGTCCACATCTCCCGTCGCTACTCTGTTTGCGACTCCCAGCTTCAACCACTCCAGCCCGCAGCACAAGCAGCTGTTTTGTTCGCTCAACGAGTCGCGTCTCCTCGGGCATAAGCCCGCACGCCCAGGCGTCTCTTACGTCGCCGCTTCTTCCCATACATCACCTTTGGCGGTCCTTAGACTCGCTTCCTCTCGACTTTTTGGGCATCGCGACCTCTCCAGCAATACCCACTGCTTACCAACGCACCTCGCCAACTAGACGACTGGTCGGCTGCCAAGTAACCTTGTCGCGACTGTCGTCATAAAGACCCGCCACCCACCACGACAAACAACGACCTTGTCTTCACACCACCCGAACTCCCACTCTGTTCAACCCTCGTGCTCGCCCGTAAAATGAATAGCGCACCTCAGTCCAGAGTCGGCTCAGTGTCGAGCTCGAAACCCCCGTCTTTAAAGTCTCACGACGACTCCGTCAAGCGATCGCCGCACATGAACCCGCAGAACGGCCAAACCAACGGCACCGCCAGTCGGAATGGTAGTGTCTCGAGCAGCGTCAACGGCAAGACCTCACCTCCTCCCGACGCTCTCCTCCAGCCTGTCGCCCGCCCCACCGTGTCCATGAAGGACAAGCTTTCCCGCATGTTCTCCCACCGTGAAACACCACGGTCAACACCCTCCGTCACGCCACGTCGTGCCAGCTTCGACGATGACGCAGCGAGACCAAAGAAGAGCTCGCCGCCGATACCGCGCAGTACGCCCGCCAACGGCAACGAGAAGGCGAGCGAAAAGTCTGCCCCTGCGGTTAAGCCAAAACCCAAGGAACTGCACCGCTTCATGCCCGATGAAGACGTCCAGGGTGGCCACTCACACCACCTCAAGTCCAGTCGCCGACAGGAAAAGCTTTCGGATATGTGGCGCATGTTGCTCGGAAAGAAGCAGGAGATCGCAGAAAACGACCTGTCACTCGTCTCTATTGGGTCGATACGTTGAGGGATGAGAACCGCGATGATGTGGCTGGAGACAGGAAAGGCGGACCCAACGCGTCAGTCTCGCTGATACAAAAGTACGGAAAATGCCACGAAGTTGTCGGACGTGGCGCCTTTGGCATTGTGCGCATCTCTCACAAGAAGGCCGAGAATGGCGCCGAGAAACTGTTCGCCGTCAAGGAGTTCCGTCGCCGTCCAGAGGAGACGGAGAAGAAGTACAGCAAGCGTTTGACAGCCGAGTTTTGCATTTCCTCGTCCCTGCGACACCCCAACGTCATCCACACGCTCGACCTTTTGAAGGACGCCAAGGGCGACTACTGCGAAGTCATGGAGTTCTGCGCAGGCGGTGACCTGTACACGCTGGTGCTAGCCGCCGGCAAGCTCGAGGTCCAAGAGGCGGACTGCTTCTTCAAGCAAATGATGCGCGGCGTGGAATACCTACACGAGATGGGCGTCGCCCATCGTGACCTGAAGCCTGAGAACCTCCTCCTTACCACACGTGGTGGCCTCAAGATTACTGATTTCGGCAACGGCGAGTGTTTCCGCATGGCGTGGGAGACAGACCCCCATATGGTCTCTGGTCTCTGCGGATCGGCCCCGTACATCGCGCCTGAAGAATACGTGGACAAGGAATTCGACGCCCGCGCCGTTGACGTTTGGGCATGTGGTGTCATTTACATGGCCATGCGGACCGGCCGTCACCTTTGGCGCGTCGCCAGGAAGGACCAGGATGAGTTTTACGATCGCTATCTCGCCGGACGCCGTGATGAAGAGGGGTACGGTCCCATCGAATCCTTGCACAGAGTGAGCACCCCCGTACAAACCGTATGTAATTGTCTCAGCCTAACATGTCCCAAGGCCCGCTGTCGGAATGTCATCTACTCCATCCTAGACCCGAACCCCACGCGACGTATCACGGCCTCGCAGGTTCTCAAGTCCGAGTGGGGTCGCGAGATTACCCTCTGCAAGGCCGGCGAGGAAGGTCTGTGATCGTCAACCGACATAACGCCCCCTCCAACCCCGGATTGGCAACCATGTGAACGATATGATTGACCAAGATTCGAGGAAATTCTTTCCTTTCCCTCCCCGTGACAACAGCAACGATTGCCGAGTTGGTATGCGCGCAGCGAAAGAGCATCGGCGTTTGGCGTTGAACGAAAGCTTCATTGGGGGCATTGGGGCGCCTCCCACACCCTCTGCCATCCCCCCTTTATTCATTTTATTTTTATTTTATTCTTGGTTTATGCATGCCACGCACAGTACATAGGAGAATATCCGCGTTGCTCTCGTGGGACAAGCACTGATGGGGCGACGCTTGAGGATTGAAGGCTTGATGTTACAGGCACAAGCCCTGACGCTGGGAAGTGTGTTTGCTTGGGGTGAAGCAGGTCCCACAGCCGTGTAGAAAGAAAGCCTGTTCTATAGTTTACCAACGATGGCCTGTGATGAATTCAGGCATCCAGAAATAGTTCGAAGCTGCCTTCTTTGGCTGCCTTCTTCGCCTGTGACGGGGTGAGTTGTCGCTTCCGCATTTGCGTTTCAGAGGCGTAGGTCGTCCGAGCCTTCTGCCGATGGAAGTAGTACCTGAGGCCGTCGTTACGTCCCTCGAGCTGTGACTACCTCGGACACTCGTTACTACCCATCTGAAAGGCGCTCCATCGTAACCGTCAATCCACCATCTTGAAAGCCCTCGCCACAATGAGTAGAACAAGCCCAAAAGGCAGCTTGGCGCACATGGCTTCTGCACAAGGGAACTCCGCACGCAGCTTGCCCCGAAGTGCTCAATGCTTCCAAAAACAGGCAGAGGAATGCGCACAGCACGCACAAGCGGAGAGGAACCCAGGTCGTTCGTGCGAGCTGCGCGAGGCATATAGATCCGAGGAATCTATACTCCAGCAGGAGGCGGGTTGAGGAAAGGGAGAGGGGTGACAGGCAGAAAACAGCCGCTCCGTTCTCTCCGCGTCTTGTCGTGCCGAGCACCAGATATCTCTCGCTCGTTTTCGCGGAATCATCTTCCGGGGGCGAGTTGCCCGTGCACACTGCAGAGGTGAGGCAGCGGTCAAGTCCCAGCGACTCGGCAAAGTAGACGAGATGCGTGGGCATGCTACTCAACTGTGGCGCCCGTGGGGCTTGAAGGATATCCTGTCCAGCACTACATGGTCTTGAACAAAAGTAGCCAAGGTCACAAATGGTCAGATGCGTTCCAGTCAAGTATGGGGAAGAAACGAAACCCTATTCACGGGCAATGAAGATTACTGTACGTGTACAACGACCCCTTCCGCTCCACGCCCGCTCACTTTCCTCTCCTCCCCTGACCGACTATATGTCCACACACAGCCTCAAGTAATCCCCACGTAAACGTACAAAACCCGAATCAATTCGCCTCCGCCGTTCATGTGTCTCGTTTCCCATGCCATTCGGGTCAAGAAGGTGAAAGATGAAGAAGTAGTAGAAGAAGAAAGAAGGGATTCTCTCGCCAAGATTGCATCTCCAGGACATAAAAAACGAGGAAATCAACATGGTGGTCAGCGCACCCAAGTCCCATCCAGCCCAAAGCACCGGCCGTCTCGCGTTTCTCGAGCCATCCCATGCCATTTGCACAGATAAGCAACGGGTTTGCCCTGAGCCATGAACGAAGTGAATTTCGACATAGGAAATGAAACGACGTGTTTCATGAAGATCTTTTATCGTTTTCCTTGTTACTGTTGTTCCGTGTTTGCTACAGCATAGACCATGCTCTTCATTTTCTCTTCGCTGCTCCTTGATGAGAGTGTAAACAAACCGAAGACATTAAATCCTGATACACCTTGCGCATGATCAAAAGCAGTGCAACCAGACGAGACGTAGTGCGACCTCATGAGTGGAAGAGGTCCCAAGCCCGCTCACATAACCGGAGGAACTCCTCTCGCTTGGCTTGTTGCGTTTCGGAGCTGTCGCGGCCCGCGCCGAAAGGTCCGCGTCGTTGTGGTGCGGGACCATTGCCCAGAGGCGGGCTGGCACCATCTTCGTACTCGGCTCGTGTTCTCCTCCGGCTGGCGCTCCGGCTGGCTTCCGCGGCGCGGCTACCAGGAAGGGGGGAAGGTGGGGTTGGTGGCTGGGGTCCTCCGTAGTGAACAATCTTCGGCAACAGCTCCGCCCTGCCTCCAGCGAGTTCAGCTTGAGCCTCCTCAGCCGACTTGTATTCCCTTGGACGGCCAGGGGTGGGAGCTTGATGTTGCATGTTCGGTGGTGGGTGGCTCGGGGATGTGAGCGGTGCCCGGCCGTTTCCAGAATACATGGAGGCGGGTGCGTTGTCTGGGTGGCCAGAAAGCCCCTGGCCAAATACATCGGCAATGGGCGGCAGCCGATTGGACGTCTGGTTCGCCGGGACATGGTGAATGTGAGAGGTATTTGACAGTGTCGACGGCTGGTTTGTGATGTGGCGGGTCAGAGGATGCGGGTTGTGGCGGCCGGTGAACGTTTGGCCCAGAGGTGCGGATTGAATCACTCGTTCATTGGCAAAGCTCTCTGCAGCTGGTGCCATGATGGACAATCCGGGTGGCGCTTTGTTGCGGCGCGACATGCCGGGAGTTTTGGCGGCAAATGCCGACGCCGGAGGCTCACGACCGGCAGTGTCAGGACCGTCTCCCTTTGCCGACTGCTGCTGGTGCAATCTCTGCTCGATGAGATGGCGCTGCTGGTCCCTAACGCTCATGCTGCGCTGGAGCTGCTCCTTCATCAGAGGATCTTTCGTAACAAAACCTGGCGAAAGGCAAGCGATGCCAACCTCCTGGATACCGAGACCATCTCGCGCGGTCAGAGGACGAGCAGTGCCGGGTTGGTTGGAGCCAGGGTGAGATCCCTTGGATAGATCCAGCTTGCGCGGTCGATGCCTAGCCGTGGCAGGCATCTCTGGGGAACCGGGCTCTTTCTTGACGACGATCTTCGGGGGTGGGTTAGAGGGCCTCGAGCTTCTGGGAAACGCACGCGTATTAGCAAAAGAACAGGAACGTATTATGCCAGGTTCGTCGATCGCCCTCAGCAAATGCGGATGCATTGCCTCACATCAACCGAGGACACTGTCGCGGCACGCGCAATTTATTGGACAATGCTTACCCGCTGAGAGGAGAAGATCTGGTACCGGCATTTCCCTTGGGGCTGCCGCTGGCTGATCGGTGTGCTGTCGTGCTGGGAGTGCCCGCCGGCGCAGATGGCGCGCTGCGTTGTGCTGATGGGGAGGGCATGGATGCCGAGGCGGATTTGGCCGGTAGCGAAGGGGGCGGCAGGTCGGAAGCGAATGAGGATCTGTCGTGGGGCGCGGGCGAGGGAGCCATTGCAATGACAGCACTCATAATTGCGATGTCGTCAAAACTTCGTTTGCGAAGCGTGAAGTGGAAGAAGGCGGTTTGCAAGAGCGTTGGGGGGCGATTGCGAGAGCCCTCAGGATCCGAGACCGGGTTTTCTCCGTGGACTGGGAGACCAGTGTCTCAGGCGGGCGGGTAAGGAACCTCTGCGGAGCGTTGCAACCGCTTATGCTGATCAGCGTTGATTGATAATTACAGGGCACGTCGTCGCGAAAGATCGTCGCTGAAGGCGTCCTCTTTTGGACGGCTATCGGTTCTCTTGAATTTACTCCCTCCTCGCGTCAGTGGCACGAGTCGAACGGGGTTGTAATGGTTAAAAGAGTGAAATGGTGGTGGTTGGGCGCGCGATGGGTGCAGATGCGACGGTCGCACGTCTAGTCCGTGTGCCTGCCGGTTGGTGGGGAAGGATCAGTTTCGTGAAACTCGGGCGCTCCTTCTTTCTAGGTTGTGGTGGCTGCAGCGTGGCTCTTGGCTCGTCACAATGGTGGGCTGACGGGCGGTGGGCGGTTGCAGTTAAGGGATCGACTGTTTGCCGTTACAATGGACCCTTTCTTCTGTGCCTGTTTCGTTTGGCGTGCCTTTCCTTGTCCCCGTGTGTCGCTGGCTGGAGAGCTTCGAGTCGCACCGAGAGGGAAGCGATCAAATAAATGGAAAAGATAAGCTTGGCGGAGGAAGGGTGGCTTTCAAGTTCCAAAAAGTGCGGAGCCGGTGCGGATGCACGCGCTGAGTTGATGGCCGTCTGTCTATCACCTAATCAGGTAGGTAGTCAAGGGTGGGTGAATGGAATGCTGCAGTTCGTGCTCCAGCTGTTCAGGCCTGGTCGGTGGTCGCCGATAGACTATGTTCGATAGAGGCAGCAGCTCAGGTCGAATTCAGGTGTACCAAAATTAGTTTGCCGGTAGGAATGTGTACTGATGCGGTAGGGGTCCGGTTATATTGATTAGGCGTCAGTGCTAGGTAAGAGAGCGGGCACGACGGGGCGAGAAGCGAATCTTTCTGAGTCGCTGGCGACGAGTCGTTGGTGTGTCTGCTAATGGGGATGCCGAAGAGGCTCGGTCGTCAAGAACAGGAGAGGCGTTGGCCCAAGAGGCGAGTAGTCTCGTTCGAAGGAAAGAAGAATAGGTGAGAAGAGAGAGGCCTGTCGGCGGCGAGGGGGGCGGACAGCGGGTGGAGGGGTGTTTAAGCAGACGCAGCCGTGAAGCTCAGCTCAGGTGGCAGAAGGGACGAGCCAGGGGCCCGTGGAGAAGGAGGGGTCCCGGAGATGTTTTATTGCCTTGCAGCTGCCTGCACGCCGTTCAGCCTGGGATGGTCCTTCCGCGGTCCTTGGACTTCTGAGTGCTGGGGGCAAGCTGGGGTCAAGTTGGAGGGGGGTAGCACTGTCCGAAAAGATGAAAGGGGGGCCAGTCAAGTGTGTGATACAGTGTTCACGGCATGGCGGCGTGGCAGGCTCGCAGGGCATGGCATGCCATTCTTGAGAGTCTCCTGCTGCTGGCCCGTCTTGGGGGTCCTGGGCTGGCAGGAGCTGACCAGGACTGAAGAAGAGGAATGTACCATGTAATGGAAGGCAGGACCTGCCACCGGGTGTGGATCTGCGTAGGGTGTTTGGGATTGATGCTAACGAGCCACCAGCGCTGCACCCGTTGTTTCTGATTGGGCTCCCCTGTCGAATCTGCGACAACTCGATCCCATCTGGACCAGTGCACTCAACTCGACCCTGGGACTGCCTTGACTGCTTGTGCCCTACCACCGGCGGCCGGCGGTGGCCAGCGCGACCGACAGCGTTAGACTCGCGATGTCTTCGACCTTCCGACGGCAAAACAAGACCAAAGGAGGCAGGCTATGGAGGGGGGGCTTGCAATGCCGTGCCTTTGTCTTCGCCCTTCCTCTCCTGTCGCACGTGTTACCCTGCAGGCGACATTGACTGCATGCATGCACAGAGGGAGCAAACTCTCCCCTATCCGACCAACCTCGAATGGCCAGCATACTGCGCCTTCATTGGCCCCCGAATCGCTCTCTGGCTTGTTTCAAGCGCCGTGGTCTCTGGCCACTGAGCCTTGTGAGTCCCCTGAGTGGTCCGTATTCTCACGGCCAACCACCCACGCCATGCCAATCCATCAGCACTAGCCTATCGTGAAAGAGCCGGCTGAACCACACGAACCGTCGAACCGTCGCGAACCATGGCATTCGGAACGACGGCTCTCGATACTATGGCCGTAGATCGTTAGATACTTTGACGTGAGGGGGAAGGAGGGCCTGCGGTACGGGTTGACCGCGGGCCCATGGCCGACTTGGCCTCCTGTTCCCCTCCGTCTGCCTCGCCTCACTGCCCCCATTGCTCGGCTCGTGGGGGGGTGGCGATCCCAAGGCTACAGTACGTGTGTGCATCAACATAAACCAAACCAGGTGGTCGTGACAGACCCTTGGTAATCTCCCATCAACCATCGTGCGGAAGAAGCAATATTGACCTCACATGTGTTATATCCCGCTGGTTCAAGTTCCCACCGCCAATAGAACCCTGATACAGCCGGTGTCATGTCCAAGTCGCAGCCAGCGTCCAGATCCCATCTTTGTTGTTGCTGTCAAACGGACAGGCGCTCATCGACAGTCTGATCTTTACTGTCAACAGACCAAGAGGCGCGAAAAGCCACGCGCGCGACGGGTAGGGCAATCATCCCATCCTCATCTTGTTGAAACCAGATCCTCGCTGCATGACCTCACCACCGCCCACTGAAGGACTCTGTACAGCGACATTCGGTACCCCCTCCGAGCCCTACGAGAGTTGTTGTGGCGGTGGCAAGTGCCCAACATTGCTCGCTTTGCAGCGTTGCTACCCTTTGTCCATGACCAAGGTTTCGTTCCCTCCGCAATTCGCCAACCGGCCCCAGCACACATGCTGCAGGGGCCGCCCGACAGTGAAGGGTGAGCCTTGTCGAAACGTCCCTGACGATCCCCCCTCCATCCCCGGTCACCATCTGACGACACGTCTCGCCCATCAAGAAGTG